CAAAATCCTTTTTAATAAGTTACTAACATACCAATTATTTCATATTATTTACCAAAACTAATATTCAGATACTAATTGTTTTCACTATAATCTAGCTAACTCTCACTCTTACTGATGTACTTGCACTAATACACTTTTGCTTAACCAAATTATTCAAACATCTATCAATCAAATCATCTTTAGCAAATTACCTAATCTTGATATTTATCAAAAAAACAATCTAATTCATAAAATCCTTCATCACCTAGCTCTTAATTCTTTATACATCTTATCTAACACATTTTATTCTAATCTTACTCTTAAAGGACTTATTTCAAAGTTACTTATATCAATAGTTCAAAACTTTAACATATTATACAAAACTGCCTCCCAAGTTATTATTAATATTTTTTTTAATATTAATGAACAATTATATGAATAATTATGGAAAACATATTGTATTTATTTCTCTAACTAGAAAAAACAACAAATAGATCTTAATCTCAACCAATCAACAAATCTTTAATATTATCTAATATAGCAATTAGACATATACATTTTTGTAGAAACTATACTTACTCATGCCTCTATGGACTTTCAGATTAACAATATACTTACTCTAACATATGCCCTCCTATTGGCCAAGTAATTCACAAAATTAATATTTAGTTTATTCTATGATTCAAATATAGCATATCATCAAATTATACACTAAACATTCAAATCTAGATGAGCTTTGACTACTCTAATAGGTTTAGATCATAGATAAATTAGTCTAAGCTTTTATTCTTGCATATAATTTTTAATTTATTTGTTTTATACAAATAGTAATAGCTGTATAGTTAGCAGTTTAATAATTAGTCCTAACTGCAAGTGTTAGCTTTGGTCATAGTATATATATATATAATTATTTTAAATTATTAATAAAGATATAAGCAAGGCCTTATTTTAATACCAAAAAAAAAAAAAAAAAATTAAAGAGATTTGATCTAAAAGAAAGTTATAAAAAATAGAAAGAAGATAAAGATAAATAACAGTATAATTGAATAAGAGAAAGTCATTTGGAAGATATATATGGGTTTTATAATAGGTATTTCTAACAAAAAAAGTAATGCTAAAGACAGTGTTATTGTGGTTGTATTTGTTAATATGTTGTATAAAAGATTAAATGATTTGGTCATGAAAAAGAAGTAGTAGATTGTAATAAAGAAGAAATTTGGTAAAACATATATAAAGATTATAAGAGTTTAAAAATATTAAGAATGATCTTTTAAGGTTGTCTTTTAAGAATGTGGCAACTTAGTGAAGTGGATAAGTTGTTATATCTTCAAGTAGTAGATTGTAAGTTCAAAACCTACTAATAATAAAATTTGAATAATCACCTATATAATATATAAATGATATTACAGTGACAGCATTCTGTCAATCAGTTGGGATAGAATACCTGTAACTATAGTTATATTAGCATAATTGGCAGGTCTAGAGCATCTGTGTAACCTTAGTTACATGGAGAAATGCAAACTGATACCAGGTAGTGCAAATCTAAAATAAGTCCTTAGGTTGTATAAATTTGTAGAACTGAGAAGCCAGAACTTACTTGGAAATTTCGAGCAAAGAGATACCACAGATTTTTAATAGTACTACTGTAAAGACTAGACCTAAGAAATGGATATCAATGTAGAAGAATTGGGCAAGAAAGACCTCGAATAAGAGGTATCACCAACCAGAATGCCAGATTTCAGACTGAAGAAAAAAGATATTGAGCTAGCCTCAATATATCAAAAACAGGTTATAGTCCTTCTAGGCTATCTGAATTAGGAGTCTAAGGTCAAAGCAGAGGTATACTAAAAGTACTAGGAATATGCTATGAAGTCAGTGCCAGAGTTTGGGTGAACTCTATAAAAGTAGCCCTTGTTAGTGTTCTAAAAGTAAGTAGATAGTTAACAACAAAGGGTACCTTGTGCCTTACTGGCAGATGACATACTCTGAAATATGTAATGGCTTAAAAATCAGTACAAAAAAGGTAGGTATCATACTGCTCAAATGGTATATCAGTTAGGTATATATAGGAAGTTAGTTGAGATTACATTATGACAGAGCAGATAATCAGAGGGTTTAAATAAATAATCTTTTAGTAGATTATAGGTATAGCATCTAGTGTAGAACTCTAGAGTAGTCTACTTAAATAGACAACTAAAAGTTGCATATGTGACTAGTTGTACTCTCATCTTTGTAAAAATAGTTGTAATAACTAACTCAATAAAAGTCAATAAAATATTATTACAAAATATAGGCTTTAACAAAAAAAAAAAAAGTTTGTCTTTTACAAAGTTAATTACTATATGCTTAGCTTTTATAACTGTGTAAAGTATCATAATCTGCTCTGTACATTAGGTTTAACTGTTATTATATTGGTTTTTTATATATAAGATTTAACTTCTTAACTCTATATGTTATTCATTTTACTAACTATAATCAGTTGTATCTTTTAGTAAGATGGTGGCTACATTTATGTGTTTGTAGAAGATAATTGGTTTGTTTATATTTTTGTTTATTGTTGTATAGTAATAATACTAGATTAACTATACAGTTTTCATTATACATGTTTATACTAACCCTTATATAGTTTTATTTTGTATTTATACTAACTATTTTACAATGTTTAGAGTATATCTATATATATTAGTTTGCATTTTTTTTCATATTTATAATCAGAAACCCTTTGCAGTTATGAGTTTTTATATATAAATATTATATTTAAAACTTTTCAAGTAGTCTTTCTAATTAGTGTTCTTTAGTTTCTTAATATAGATTTACTGTAACCTAATATGATTTTATTTTATATTTATACTGATTATTTTATAATATTCAAAGGGAATTATTTTTTATACCCCCTAAATTTACTATTCGTACCCCCTATAACGCAACTTTCTGACTATCACATGATCATGTAAGACAATTTTCACAATTTCACTTGTGATTGGACGATATCGTCACACAGACAAATACTGTGTAATCTCTAACAAAAAAAATTATCGTCACGTAGTCACACAAAGTAAATTCTGTAATTACGTCTGTGATTGGACGATATTGTTATATGTGCAGCATCTTGCATAAACAAAAAATGTTCTGGAACTAGTAAATCTAGTTCCAGATTATTTTTTGTAAATAAGCACCCTTTACTATAAGATGCGCATTATTTCAGGATGCACATGGGCATCATTTTGAAGCTATATATGTTATTTTTTAGAAGACACAATTTTCAAAATAACGTTCATGAACGTTATTCTGCGAAAATATAGCAAATTTCATATTAGCTAAGTGATTTCGATCCTGTTTTTATTTATAACTAATTTGTAAAACAACTATAGTATAGTTAATTTAGTCAAAGCGCAAAAAATTTTTTATTGTGTATATTGTATGCTTTAAAAAAATCAATTAACAAAAAAAATAAAAAATAGAATTTTGTTTCAAATCAATACAGTAATTGTCACAGATCATAATGAAATCAGATTAAAATGAAATTTGAAGTTTCGATTTAACTCTTAAAACCCACTTATACTTGTTTAATATAATAAATTCTACCTTTAAAGCTGACCTCTAACGATAAAAAAAGGTTGTATTTTTTGGTGGCTTGTCTATTTTGTATTATCAAAATTTCATTTTAATCTGATTTCATTTTAATCTGCCATAGTAATTACTTCCAACAATCTGATTAATAAAAAAAAAAACTCACATACTTCAACAAGGGACGTGAACTAGCGCCCAAGTAGAGCTGGGATCCTTTAAATGTTTATCGGGACTATTCAATGAATGTTCACATGTTATAGCATTTATGAATAGTATGATATATTAATTCTAATGAATATTCACAGCTATTCACAAATTTTGTGAAACTTCCATTAAATATTTGTATCAAATATAATCTAGTCCTTGACTACTCATAAATTTTGTGTACCCAAACATCCGCATTAATTGAATATTCATTTTTTTTAACTGGATCCCAGTTCTAGTCCCAAGTATAATGACGTCTGGAGACACTAATCAAAATAAGAAAATCAGTTAGAATTAATGTCTATAAAAGTAAAATTTGAGAAATGTTAAATCTTAAAAAGGCATAGTTGTGGCTATATAGACAAATAGGCTAATGATGCATGTGAATTTGATAATGAACTTAGCACGTATAGTTTTGTGGCGATGTGCTTAAATGTCAGCAATAAATATGGGATAGACCGTAGCAATGTGTGTGAATAGGTAATAAGTCTAGATAGTCAATGCATGACAATAAAAGCGTAGTTTTTGGAATAAGCTGTGGCAGTGCGCATGAATGGTTAAAAAAAATGAACCAGCATAACTTCATTCTAATTAGAATTAGTTCAAATGAGTATCAAAAATTCTGATTATTGCCAGCACTCTGCAATATTAATGCCTTTAGCTATTATCTAGCAATACTTAGACAGAATGTGCATATATCTCAAACGTTCAATACCAATTGACCTAGTTTTGATTAGGACGAATCACTAGTACAAATAGAATGTAAGGTAAGAAATTCAGAGAGCATTTGAAATAAATAGTAGCAATGCGTGTAAAAATAAACAATAAATTTTAGTATTCGTGGCTATGCAATGTCTGTAAAATTGTATAATGAAATTTTAGTATGTTGTAATTTATAAAAATAATAATAATAATAAAAAAGAAATGTAATAAAATACTTCCATCGTGTATCAAAGCCTCAAGATAAATTATATCAGCAAAAGTGATAGAAATTTTTCATAAAATGCATTTAAATATAAAAAGAAGAATTTTGAGAGTTAATAACTGACATTTGATTAAAGTAACTTGTTAAATATATCTTCTTGTTCATTCTTAATTGTTTCTCTAAGACTGTAATATAGTGAACATTTTAAATCTTGTCTTCATTCTAATTAAAAATAAATTTAAGTTTAATAAACCTTCCTGGACCGAATTATAAAGACCAATTTACTATAATTAGTTATTATTTTTTCTTTTGTCAAGTAACCATGCTCCCACCACCACCTGATGTATACTCTAGTGCTGATGAACTTTTGCGAAGTGCACAAATGTTCGCAAACTCCCAAGGTTACGCTTTAGTAAAAAAAAGAACTCGTAAGAATGAGAGTGATGAATTAAAAAACATGTCATTACGTTGTGACCGAGGTGGCATCTATAATAACTCTCTAGAACTGAAAGAAAAAGTGTGTCATAGACAAAAAAGTACTAGGCTAATTGACTGCCCCTTCGAGTTGTATGCTGCTCAGCGAGATGGTCTGTGGCATTTGAAAGTGCGTAATATATCCCATAACTATGATGCTTCACAAGACATGTCAGGCCATCCTATTGTTCACAGACTTACAGAGCAACAGATGAAGAGTGTTAAGGCGATGACTATTGCCAGTTCACAACCAAAAGCAATTGTAACAACTCTTCAACAGAGTGATTCATCAGTACTAGTTACTAATAGTGATATCTATAATGCGCATGCAAGACTTCAACAACAGAACCTAGCAGATCACACTCCTATACAGGCCCTAGTAGATGAACTACAAAATGGCAATTTCTTATACGAATATGAATGTGACGATACCGGTTCTGTCATCTATCTCTTTTTTTCGCACAATGATTTTATTTCTCTTACTTGCCAATATCCCTTTGTACTTTTTATGGATTGTACCTATAAAACTAACAAATTTAGAATGCCTTTGTTAAATGTTATAGATATAACTAGCTTTAATTCTATTCTTTTACCTGTTAATTATACATGCCATAGAACTATTTCGACATTGTGAAAGTATTTTAGCATTAATTTTTTTGATATGAAATTTCGAGTTATTTTAGAAATAACTTGGACATTTCATATCAAAAATCAATGCAAAGATACTTTCAGCAATGCCAAAATAGTTTCTATAGCATATATACCATTAATACTCTTTTGTACTTCTTATAAATTGTAGCCATAAAACTAACAAATTTAGTTAATTGTTATAGGTATAACCGGCTGTAATACAACATTCTATTCTTGTTTCATTTTCATGAAAGGTGAGACCGAAGAAGATTATAAGTGGGCTCTAACATGTGTTTTGCGCTTGTTCGACAGAGTACAGATGCCTGGCATTGTTGTAACTGATAGAGAGCTTGCTCTCATAAATGCTCTTAGTATAGTATTTCCTAGTTCAGCAAATTTACTTTGTGTATGGCATATCAGTAAAAACGTCCTAAAAAACTGTAAGCCACTGTTCCCAAAAGAAATGAATAATGAGGAAAGTACTGAGTGGCAAGATTTTCTTTCCAGATGGAATGATATTGTAGAATCTGAGACAGAAAAAGAATTTAATACAAAGTGGAGAGATTTTCGCTCTACTTATGCTAATAAATCCACTGCCATCACCTACCTCGAAATACCTGGATATCATGGAAAAAAAGGTTTGTAAAAGCATAGTCAAACACATTGTTTCACTTGGGAACAACTGTAACTTCCCGAATTGAGGGTGCACACGCTACCCTTAAGGCATACTTACAAGGATCTATAGGAGACCTTCATCAGATTCATGCGACAATATCGCTAGTAGTAAATAACCAAAAAAAGGAGCTAGATTCCATGGTTGTGACAGAACGTATCCATATTCCAGTTTTTGCTACCAACAATATTTTATATGCGAACGTCAAAGGTACCTTTTTTTTTTTTTTTTTCTTTTTTTTGGGGGGACACTTATTTTCATCATGAAAAATTTACTATTTTCGCCATTGGACAATTTATCATGACAATAAGTTCATCATGTTTATGTAACTGAAGTTGTATAAAAAGCATAATGGAAATAGCAAATTTCTATGATGAAAATAGGTATTCTTTTTTTTTTGGATCTCTATAATAATAACATCATGAGGACGACATCATCATATATTTATCAAAGGTAAAGTTTCAATCTTCGCACTTAAGAAAATAAATAAACAAGATCAAAGATTAAAAAATGCTATTGCACAAAACTCCTTGCCAACATGCACTGGATCTTTTACAAAAACAATGGGCTTATCTTGTGCTTATACCATTGAACTTTTCAAAGATAATCAGAGTTTTACGCTTGATGACATCTATAAACATTGGTGGATTCCCGAACGTCTACCTGTATTATGAATTGAGGAAAATACTTTTTATTGTGAAGACACACTGAACCCTCTTTTACAAGATCTACAACAAAGATATCAAGAGTGGCCGGAATCTCGACAGTTAAAAGCACGGGAAAAATTAAAAAACATAATTGATACCCAACCAATTATCTTACAAAATCCCAATGTTGTTCATGCGAAAGGACACTCTTTAGGTACTCCTAATCAACAAACCAATTCAACCAGAAGAGATCTTTCTGGTTTTGAGTTGGTAGACCATAAAGCACAGCATTGTACCCTTTGCCAACAACCCGGGCACAATGCTCACACTTGCCTAAATGGAAATAGCTCTGTGTAATTTTAGTTTCTTTTGATACGCATGCTATAATACTACTTAGCATTTATACCTTAATACCTTTTAAGTTAGTACTTTTTTTTTCTTTACACATGTAATAAAGTACATGAAATTGGTTTTATAAAATGTACTTACATATTTTCTGCGTTGGATTTAAATTTATTTATTTTTTTTTTATAACCCATAATATATCATGGGACGCTGTAAAGGAATTCTTTATTATTGGCTTAACGATTATTTACACTTTGAAGTATTTATTCATTCTATTTTTTTGTCAAAATGCTATCTATTTAAAGAGCTTTGGATTTGATCATACGGATTTAAAAAAAAATAAATTAAATTTACAAGTGTTTTGTAAAAGTGAATATAAACATTCTAGACTATTGAATTGTCAAGTTATAAAAATGTGAGCATGTTAGCTTACTTTAACTAGATTTCAAAATTAATCAAATTTTAAAGTGAAAAGGTTCGAGATTCTTCAGTTTAAAATTAAGGTTCGTTAGATGTTACACACATGCGTGTCTTGTGTGATGATATTGTCCAATTGTAAGTGAGATTGCAAAATTGTCTCACATGATCACATGACAGTCGGAAAGTTGCGGTATAGGGGGTACGAATAGTAAATTTAGGGGATATAAAAAATAATTCTCTATTCAAAAATATATATATATATATTAGCTTGTATATATTTATATTCCTAATTAGAAACTCTTTGCAATTATTAACTTTCAGATATAGACACTATAATACAGATAGCTGCAGATCTGTTATCAACTTTACTTGGTTTTGTATTACAAATTACAGCCAATAAGCTAATATTTCTAATTAAGTTGATATATTAACTAAAATATATAAAGTTTTTAATATTCAATATTTATTACTAATAGAAATTAAACTTTAGACCTTTTCACTTGAAGTATAACAACTTGACTACTGCACTAAGTTACCATATCCTTAGTAGAAAATTTTTTTAACTTGAATAATATACAAATTAATAAAAAAAAGATTAAGCTAATTATAATAAATATTAAAAAGAAAAAAACCAGAAAAAACAATTTTTTTTTAATAAAGAATAGATTTAAAAAGAAAGTAAAAATAAAATAAAAAGATTTTTAGAAAATTTGGTTAAACTGCAAGTTTAAAAAATTAACAATAAAATCAAAAGCCAAAAAAATAATATGAACTTTTATATAAAAACTAGATCAAAAAAAACTAATAGTTAGCCAAATATTATATATTAACAATATGTGTATTATATTTAAACTGTGTTATATGTTACAAATAACAAGATTATTAAAAATATAATAAACAATATATATATATTAATAATCAGTTTGGCAAAAAAAATAAAAATTATATAATTAGTAAGAAATAGCATTATATATTACAAGAATCTAAATAATTTTAATTCTTTATAGAATCAATTAATGCTTAAACAGATTACTAATATTATAGAATGAATTATTATTATTTTATTATTTTATTATTTTATTATTTTATTATTTTATTATTTTATTATTTTATTATTATTATTTAGTATTAGTTATTTCATTATTGTATTATTATTACATATATTAAGAAAAAACTCTCTCTGCTGATCCTCAATTCCAAAACAAGGAAAAGCAAAATACAAAAACAACAGGAAAACTGACTAGCAAACACCCTTTAGGTGACTAACAAAAAAGCTATATTAGAAGGAAATACATATAATATAGTAGAGATTAAAAGACAAAGAAAGTTGTACCAAGCTATTAAAATGAAACAGCAACTTTTTTGACAAGAAAATTTAAATTTTTGGGGAATTGTCATTACTCTGAAAAAATAGAAAACAAAACACGTAATAACTGCAACAACAACAAACAACAACAAACAAACAAGCCTTGTATCAAATTAGAAAACAGCAAGCAGTACAATAGAATTAGTAATGTAGTACTAACAACATACTAACAAATATTACAAAGCT